AAAAAATAAAAATTTAAAGGGACAGTATAAAAAAAATGACAAAAAAAAGTGACACCCCCCCCCCCCCCCATGCTTGTGCGCCAAGGTGATTGCGCGCATCGTTCCGTAAGCATGCAAACAGTGATTGTCCCATCATGTGAGGAATCGCCTTGGACAGTAATTCTAGCACTAGACCTCCTCTGTAGATCTAAATTGATAACCTGTAAAGGCTTTTAAAGCGTCACCTATGATTAGTAAAATCAACGCCATTTTTTGCCATTGCACTGGCGATCATTCAAATCATGTGAAATTTTTAAGTGTGACATGTTTGGTATCTATTTACTAACTGATTTTAAAATGTAGTACTTAGGATAAAAAAGTGCCAGAAATGGCTTTTGGTCTGAAGTGGCTATCCAAAAAATAGTTGGTTGGAAATCCACTTAACAAAGCATTTTGATGAGTGTTCACCTGATATACACTGAACTGCATCACGTTTCCATACCATGTACATGGATGCTGTAATTCCTACTTACACTTCTTAAATTCAATACTATTCCAAGTTAAAGTTAATTTGTGAATTTACTGCTCCTGGCATGTAGGTTTTTTTTTGTTGAGGGATAGGAAGGTATTAAGCCCCATCCCCCCCACTAATCCTTCCATCAATAGAACAATGCACACACTGATAGAAAAGAAGGGGGATTAAACTCATCCTACCTGTGGAAAAGCTTTTGTAATGAGAGGTAAAGATAAGTAAAAATTCTATGTGGGTGATTATAGGTGACTGGAATTAGTGGATTATTGTGCAGCTGCAAGAGAAGTACATTTGTCTTTACTATCAGGAGTTGGCGCAGAGAAAGCGAATCATACTAAAGAAATAGAGATTGTTCGCTTTACAAAGTGAATTTAACCTATTTTTATGCAGGGATCTGGGGTCTACAAGACCCCAAATCCCTCCTCTGCACTTGAAAGCATTTGAAACACCAAGATCTGTGTTTTTTAATGCTTTCAGATTTGTAAAAATGGTGCCAATAGTTTCCGAGTAAACCAGAAATGAAGTCAGGTCATCGCTTCTGGTTTACAATAAATGAGAGACGATCAAAGCTGATTCCAGCTTTGTTCAGCTGTCCGGCCAGCTGGCGGATGTGCTGGCTGGTCGCTCTGGATTCCCAGTGTGAGAGAGTGGTAGGAGGAGACAGGAGGGGGGACATCCCCTTCTGCTGCTTGTACAAGCAATCAAGCAGCTAGTTAGCTGATCCGATTGCTTGTACAGGAGAGCTGACTGCCAGCTCTAGAAAAAACAGTACCATAGGTGTTCGATTGAGTTCAGATCAGGAGACATACTTGGTCACTGAGTCACTTTCACCTTGTTCTTCTTCAGAAATGCAACAGTGGCCTTAGATGTGTGTTTTGGATCATTGCCATGTTATAAAAGTGCATGACGACCAAGGGCACGGAGTGATGGCAGCATCTTCTGTTTCAATATAGAGCAGTACATCTGTGAATTCACGATACCATCAATGAAATGCAGCTCCCTGACACCAGCAGCCCTCATGCAGCCCCACAGAAGGACACTGCCACCACCATGCTTCACTGTAGGCACCATGCATTTTTCTTTGTACGTCTAACGCCATACAGTTTTGAAGCCATCACTTCCAAAAAAATGTAACCTGGTTTCATCACTCAAGAGTACAGAGTCCCAGTAGTCTTGTTCTTTTTCAGCATGGGACTAGGCAAATTCTAGGCAGGCTTTTTCGTGCATGGGCTTTAGGAGAGGTTTCCTTTGTCGACGACACTAATGCATGCCATTCCTCTACAGTGTACACCATATTATGTCATGGGAAACAGTCACCCCAGTTTGGCTTTCTACTTCTTTAGGTAACTGCAGTAAACTTGCATGGCAATTTTCTTAAACCCTTCTCATCAGGTGATGCTCCTGTTGAGGTGTTAACATCCGTGGATGGCCTGGACATCTCTGTGAGATGGTTGCAGTTCCATCTTTGTTAAATTTATCTATCACTTTTACTACAGTATTCATACAGATAAGTAAGCTTTGCGGATCCTCTTGTAGCCTTCACCTTTCTTGTGTAAAGAAATGATTTTCTTTCTCAGGCCTGGTGACATTTCTCTTCCATGTGGTGCCATTGTTGACACTTGAAATGGAAAGGGCTTTTCTTTGTTAAGTAACACCCTTTTATAATCAACTGTCTGCTGGACACCTGTTTAATAAATAAATAGACTCACCTGTAGATAAATTAATTAAGTTAATCAGGATTTTGTTGTCTAAAATTTAACTTTGCTCCTATTATTATTATTATTATACAGTATTTATAAAGCGCCAATAGTTCGCTCAGCGCTGTACATTACAAAGGGGGACAGAACATGTGACAGAACAATACCAATACAATGTGATACACGAGGGGTTCGAGGGCCCTGCTCTTTCGAGCTTACAATCTCCTAAGACTTTCATTGGGGTGTGTTCATTTATGTTTAGCACTGTATATAAGAAAACCTTGCATTTTTCATTGTTTTTCTCTTATAATTAAAGCTGAACCCTGGGGAAAACTCAGAACTGCCCTTGCAGTGGGGCTCTCCCTGCACTGCAAGAGTTAAATGCTCATTTTTGTCTAGGGTACTATTAAAAAGCAGTTTTATTTATCTTATCCTTTGCTTCTGCAAGCATCTCCTCTCTGTGCAACTGGTCTCCCAAAGCGGCTTCTCTTCTGTGCTCTGTGGGTCACACTCTGACACCATCACATACAATGCAGGACCAGCAGCCCTGTATTGTAAGCAAGGATGCCAAAAGCCCGCCCAGAACCTAGAATGTTAGAGGCAGGAATAGTGCGCCAGCTGCCAAGGACACGAGGGATAAGCAACTTAAAGAACTTTTACATTGTACCCTAGATAAAAACTAACATTTAACCTTTTCACTACTGGAGGTGGAGGGTGGAAGGCAGGGTTACTGCAAAAGTAATTTTGAAATTTCCCCAGGGGTAATATTTAATTTTATGTATATGTTTATATACATTTGGGGGGGGTGGTTTACACTTTTTTCATTTAACTTTATTTCAATCACAAACCCCCTATGTGGTAGCATGGGCAGCTGATAGGTTCTCTTTTTGGAGACATCAGGGGTCTGGGCAGCACAGTGGCTAAATGATTAGCATTTCCGCCTGGCCACACTAGGGTCGCTGGTTCAAATCCCAACCATGGCACCACCTGCCTGGAGTTTGCACGTTCTCCCTGTGACTGCGTGGGTTTTCTTCGAGTACTCTGGTTTCCTCCCACACTCCAAAGACATGCTGGTAGGTGAACTGGCTCCTGTCTAAATTGTCCCTAGTATGTGTATGTATGAATGTGAGTTAGGGACCTTAGATTGTACACCCCTTGAGGGTTAGGGACTGATGTGAATGTACAATATATATGTAAAGCGCTGCGTAAATTGACGGCACTATATAAGTACCTGTAATAAATAAATTAGACCCCATTGTCTCCCCCACAGTCCAGAGCCCCATAAAAGTGATTGTCCAGTGGTGTCCTTGTTTACCTGGCAATTCTTGGTATTTGTCACTGAATGCACATTTTCTAGAATTCAGACATTTTAGGTGTCTGTATTAACAGGGAACATTATAATAACTGTTTTATTACAGTTGGCTCCTGAAGGAAAGCATGGTGTGGCTTTTATAAGATGAGCATGTTAATTCATACAGGTGTGTACCTGTTCTAGGCTTAATGAACACTGGTGCTCACTATGAAATAAAGCTAAAAGCCCAATGTGTAACAAGAGCTCGGAAGGGAACTTGAAGCTGAAGTTTATTCTGGTTATATTTTGCCTTTCCACGTTGCTCTCTTTCCCTCTCATCAACATGCTATTGGTGTTTGTAAATAAAACCTTTCTGTTTTTATGGCATAGCTTATATTAGAACCAGTGATGTCATTACTGGCTCTCTGTGCTTCTCTATGCAATGCTGGCAGATTAAAGCTAGTGGTAGGGACTCGCAGGGTGCTGTGCATAGCTTCCTGATAACATCACAGCACCCTGCCTCAGTACTCCTCTCCCTAACCCTAGGTTCACACCTAAGCATTTTCCGCAGCGTTCTGCAGAAACGCAGTACAGTCCATTTAACATGATTTCCTATGGGACACGTTCGTTATTCACCCGATGTGTTTTTTGGAAAGGGTCAGGGACTTTTTTGAATGCAAAAAGTTGCATTTTTGGTTCTATAGACTTCAATGGAAACGCTGCAGAAAAGCATGCAGTGCGTTTTTTCTGCTTTTTTGCAGCAAATTTGATATGGGCATCAAAGTGGCTAAATGGTTAGCACTTCCGTCTGGCAGTACTAGGGTCGCTGGTTCAAATCCCAACCATGGCACCAACTGCCTGGAGTTTGCATGTTCTGCCTTTGTGGGTTTCCTCCGGGTACTCCAGTTTCCTTCTACACTCCAAAGACATGCTGGTAGGTTAATTTGCTCCTGTCCAAATTGGCCTTAGTATGTGTATGCATGAATGTGTGTTAGATTGTACACTCCTTGACGGTTAGGGACCGATGTGAATGTACAATATATATGTAAAATTGACAGTGCTATATAAGTACATTAACTAAATGTGTTTTAAATCTGCCTAGCAACAAGAAAAAATGTTTAAAAACCTGCAAAATGCATCAAAAACACGGCAAAAACGCATAAAAATGCAATGCAAAATGCAATATAGAAACGTCTCAAACGCGAACTGCATAGGTGTGAGCCTAGCCTTAGTCCTGATGAAAATGGTGGGCTGCAGTAATGCAAATATCAAAATGCCTTGATGGGTGAGTGTCAATCTGGAGGAATGGACATTCCTAAACAGGCTGCATTTGTAGTAATGCTAAGATGTGACGCTGAGCCTCCATGAATGAAAGAACTATAATCCATGGAATGAAAGAGGTAGACCAGGGACACTAATGCTGGGAAGGAAAGAGCTAGAAGATGCTGATGTCCTGTGGTCAGGAAATGGTCAGGCTCCGCTTAACCATTTCAGAGCCCACATCAGGGTCCGCAGGGGCGGACTGACAACTCATGGGGCCCCCGGGCAATACGAGATCATGGGGCTCCTGTGTCCTTGCCCAAACTCAAAAAAGCCTATGAAAAAGGTACCAGGGGCATCTCATGGGGGCCCCTAGTGACCCCAGACCCTCGGGCAGTCCCCGAGTTTCCAAATGGTCAGTCCGCCCCTGCTCCCATGGAAAGCCTGGAATTTAACTTATTGAGCTCATTGGTTCACTCCCCCCACCTCCTGTAATGAAGTGCTTAGTGTCTGAGCAAACAGTCATTTGGCCCAAGATTTGACATAGTAGGTAGACATGTCCAGCCAGAAAAGTCCATTTTGCCAGCAGAGGTGCTTGCTATGCACATCATTGATATTTCTTCAGGGAAGCCTATCCTGCCTTAATAACAGAATCTTCTATTCCTCCTACCATTCCATCTCCCACAGTTATTACCTTTTGTACCACTAGGCCTTCCCTCTTAGATTGTAAGCTCCAAGGAGCAGGGCCCTCCTAACCCTCTTGTATTGAACTGTATTGTCTCTCGTTATATTGTAAAGTGCTGAGCAAACTGTTGGCGCTATAGAAATCCTGTATAATAATAATATTTGTGACCTTATGACAGGTGTACTTTAAAATCCAATTATAGCCTCCAGCCAGTGCCTGCCAGTCCACCCTCTTTGAATGACCCCACTACATGTGTCTTCTGGATGTTTATGTCCTCTTTATCTCTTCTCAGGGAATGGCCATCTCCTCAATAAGTGATGTGTGTGTGCATCTTGTGTAGTGTCAGTGTGTGATGTCAGTGTGTGATGTCAGTGTGTGATGTCAGTGCGTGATGTCAGTGCAGTGCGTGATGTCAGTGCGTGATGTCAGTGCAGTGCATGATGTCAGTGCGTGATGTCAGTGCATGATGTCAGTGCATGATGTCAGTGCGTGATGTCAGTGCATGATGTCAGTGCAGTGCATGATGTCAGTGCATGATGCATGCACTCACAGGAAGGACTGGTGCTCAACTATGGAGTGGTAAGTCTAAGGCAGCACCTGAGGTCAGGTGTTTACTGCAGCTAGGGCTGTTTTTTATCCTATATTTGTTGGGCCACTTTTTTTTTTAAATGAGGTATTTGTAAAAGGCAAAATTTTTACATAAAAGAAGGAGAGGGTTAAAACCTCCACCAGTTAACTTTTGCTTTCTGTGTCCTTTTAAGGAGATCATCCTTCACTTCCCAGGAATAGATGTCCCCAGTGAAAAAAATACAATTACCATTACCTTCTTTTCTAAACTTTGCAATTCCCCTCATTTTGTGTCTTGGTGAAAACGGTCATCAGGACAAATGGAGGGGTACATCTCACCAGTGGGAACACAGCAATAAAAACTTGACAAACGGTCCAACCTTTCATATGCCAGGAGGCGGGGCGGGAGTTTTGATCGTGTGAGTACCGTCATTAGCTGTCACAGTGGTCATGTGATCAGAAAGCTCCAGATTGCAAGTAAAGATTGTCAGTTTTCGTTACTCACCCGGTAACTGTGCTAGGAGCACTCACAGTGCGCACTCTCAGCACAGTTCTGTTTATCTTTAGGTATGCATATATGTGGCCATGGTGTTAAAGCGATAATAATAAATCAGGACCTTTTAAAAAAAAAACAACCTGCAAGACAATGTTATAATGTGCTAGTATGCAGTTACTAAAATGTAAGTGCTGTAACTAAGTGTTACTAAACCCACAACAGTAAAATCAGTCAGTATATACAGTAAAGCATGATTGTTATACTCACTGTGGAACCTAAGGGGCTAATCCTCTGCATTGTGTAATAACGTTGTTTGATCCTGACTTCTCTGATCTTCCCCTTCTTCCAGTGTTCCCCTCTTATCTCTTGATATTTCTACACATGCTCAGTATGGGGTGTATTGCTAGAGAGGTTTTTAGCAGTTTATATTTACTAATAATTGCATTTCCATGTTCTGTGTACTGTGGGAGACCAGATACAGTGAATTTAGGGTCCTGGTTTAGTAACACTTTAAAACAAAGCCCTCCAGTGGCATACTGTCACCTCTAACAAGGCTTCCATCTTTACCCGGTCCTTCTTCCAGGTTCGCGGGCATCGTCAGCTTGAATGGCTGAGCCACAATGGTGTCATTCCTACAAATGTGTGCAGGAGTCACTTTTTATGGCATTCAGCTCTGATGGAATGGCCCTGGCATGCTGTTCCTTCAGAGCACATTCGCTGGTGTCTCTTACAAGTAAATACCTCCTAAATGGTGCACGTTAAGGTGATATTTACAGTACCTACAGATAAGCTTTATTATAGGCTTAGCTGTAGGTACAAGTGAAAAAACAACAACTTTACTACCACTTTAAGGCCCACCCACCGAGAGGCCTCATATATGTATACGGTCGGCAGGAAGGAGTTAAATGGTAAAAAAAGTTTTTTTTTGGAATTTACATACACCTTAAAGCACAATTTCAGGCAGGCCAATTATCACACATGAGACATGCAATGTCCTGCAATAAAATAAACTTACCTGCCTACTTGCAGTGTTCTGTATAATATACACTGAGCTGTGCATGCGCAGTTTACATTTCTAGGAAGATGCCTGTCTCCCCGGGATGACTGATCTCTTGCGCCTGCATGGGAGTTACATCATCCCACACTAGCCAATGAAAACTGCTGAATAGCTACACCTGTAAAAAGAGGAAAAGATGTTGGCACCAGCGAGGGACTTTGTGAAAATCAGACCACTGTGCTGGAGGTAAGTATTGCAGAACAACTAAAGCCCAAGGAGCATTTTACACTATTACAGAAACAGTCATTTTGTTGGCAACCCTACCAATGTTCTGATTTCTCCCAACCTTTGCTGGACAGCTTGGCCTGTCACTGAGGATGGAAACCCAACAGATTTACTAATAGGTAATAAAACTGTTATGGAGGGATTCAGAAAACAATTCTTCTGTGTTATTGATAGTGACTGAGTGTATCAATGTATCATGTATTCTTTTTTATTTTAACCAGAGTGCCTTTTTAAATACACTTAGCAAAACAAGCCCATCTTAGAACCATCAAATATGTCTGATATGAGTAAAACGCCAAGTTCAGCCAAGTTCAGCCAGGGCAAACTCCTTCTGCCTGGAAGTACAGCACATGCAAAATACCCGACAGGTCTTGTGTTCTGGAGTCATATCAGGTCCTTGTTTTGCCGGAGGAATCATCTTCTTTGTACATTTTAGATCTCGTAAATCATAATGTGTAAATCACCTTTGTTTAACTCAAGTAGATGCATTATACCTTTATATGATTGATGTCCAAAAAATGATACACATCTTATATTTATAAGAGAACTGGGATGTTACTGGCAGAAGCCCAAATACTGATCCAAAAGATATAGATGCCTTTTTCTGACATGTTCTACCGCAGCATATAGAACTTATGTTTGCCCAAATTCCCACATCTCTGTAAAGATAAGAAATATAATTGGTTTAAACCTCCCACTTAGCTAGAGTTACCTATCCTACAAGAAATGTATGTACCACACCCATGCAATCAATTGTGGAGAATGTTTTTCCCCAAATAGGTCATCCAAGTGCTTGTTTTAGGCAATGAGGCCACTTAAGCTGACCATACATGGATCACAATGTGGATATTTCAGAAGGAACAGGACACATTTTGATTCATGTATGGCCATGCCTGTTCACGGTGGGGGAATCGGTACAGTTTTTTCCACTCAACTGGCTGGCTGAATGAAAAAACTGAGCCATGTACTGTATGGCCAGCTTTAACTTCATGGAAAATAGTAACTAAAACAAATAAAATGTACTGCTGTACAACCACAAATTGTGTCAATGTGTGTTTAGTGTTATATATGCCGCTGCTAACGTCTGAAGTACCACAATGCAATATATGTAATAAGTGACCCGGCATTGCAATACACTTGCTACAATAAATGAAAACATACTAATTCAAAAAGTTACCATAAAATAAATATCCAATGGTGAATAAAATTATAAATAAAATCTAAAAAAGTCCATAACACTGAAATAGTGAATGTCTCTTAATCAATAGATCCAACAATCTCTGTTATAAATAAAATGCCAATAATATTGTGTATCTTCAAAATCTTCCATGATATTACAAATCACCACATGGTATACCCTTCACCGCCATAAAGCACCACACCTCAAAATCATCACCTACTATCACGTCAAATTGAATGGTACCTTTATGAATTTGCGAGTTTTCATTTATTGTAGCAAGTGTATTGCAGCTCTGGATCACTTATTACTTATACAACTTTAGATTCTTGGTGTAGTAAACAAGACATGAACAGAGTAGAACATTTGAAACATTTCCAAGAGCACTTGTGATGCAAAGATGGACAAAAGATGCATGGGATAAATATTGGCTTATGCAAGGCAGTAAAAGATCCAAGATTAATTAAAAAGGCAGTAACCATTGCTGATTATTGAAGCCTGATAACTCAAATATTAAAGTCTTGGTTTTTATTGCTTTAAATAACAAACATGTTATACTTGCCTCTTATCCTCCTCTTCTCGGACAACTTGCCAGTATGTAATCAGGCAGGCCCTTGCACTACATAGTTGAAGGTAAATCTAAAGGAAATTGAATAAGACAATTGTATAATGTATGGCCAGGTTTAGACTGAAATGCTGATAAATAAAACATACAACAGAAAAAGAAGTAGCCTATGGAGAAGCACCATGATCCACAGCATTGAAAGTGTGTAAAAAAATAAAATGTCTATTATGGTGTATACGTATATAAACAGTGACGCTAACTTCCTTAGCAGTGTTGCGAGTTGGCCCACACCCTCCCATCTCATAAACACCCCGTTCGCCAGTAAAGTTGCCCCCATATTGCTGGGCCAATAGGAAGGTGTAGTTTGTGGGTTCATTCTTTAAACTGCTACAAAGTGTTAAAATATGTACACTTTATGATGTTGAATCAAAATTCCAGGAACCCGATGTGCTTGGGAAAACATTCAAGGATGCCTACTTTTGATACTTAGTTTAGATACTTATACACTATAGCAATTTTTGCTGGCAGGTTTATTTTAATGTACAGAAACATCTGGTAAAAAAAGTGCATGAACAGGAAGTAAAATGCAGAATGCTTTTCAGAGCTGAGTATTCTGCAAAAGCAACATCACTAGTAAAAGTAATTTTGTTTCAAAATGTTTTAC